CTTCCTTGATCAAACTTGATTTTTCTTAACTCAGAATGAATCCACAGCCTCTCATTTCCTGTGGAAACAAAAGCAAATCCTCTTCTCCAAATTAACATACCTTTTGACTTCAATTTTGAAGTCAAGGTATTTTCAAAATATCTTGGATTAAGTCAGCAGCATTTATAAATAAATATCTTTTAGCAGCTGATGCTCTTTCCTCAGCATTCAAACAATCCAAAGAGAACATAATAACATACAGTATCCAGACTCTCTGTGTATTTTTCATCTTTACGTTGCTTTATTTTAACCTCTATTTCTTTTATTTTTATTTTTAATTTTTGGCTTTTTGAGACAGAATTTCTCTGTGTATCCTTGTCCTGGAATTTACTCTGTAGACTAGGCTGTCCTTGAACTCACAGAGATCTGCCTGCCTCTGTCTCCCAAGTGTTGGGATTAAAGATGTATACCACCACACCCAACCACTCTCTTTCTTTTTTTTCATTTTTTTAAGGACTTTAACCTTTTTCTTTTCTCTCCAAAGCCTGCATATATTTTTAACACACTGTAAAATATTTAGAGGTTTTCTTCATCTTTGATTCTCTCTTTACTATATATCTCTTTTTCTGACCACATGAGTCTTTAATTTGCTAAGTAATATGGAGAGAATTAAAGCCGTGGCTTTGATGGCTGGATCCAGTCCATTCCTTAGCCTTCTGAGATTTCAGGCTCATGGCAGAGGTACTGGCTGTAGCCATGTTTGTTGCCACAACTCTATGGCATTTTAAGGTCCCTGCCAGCAAGCAAGCTGCAACATTCTGCTCACAAACCATACTCAAATACTTTGTAGCCAGGCCTTCTGCCTGAAAGAGTCAGAGTTTGTGCTGGCAGGACGGCCCAGAAAGTCAGCATTTTAAAACAGCACAGCTTTTTTCCTTCTATGGCTGAAAACCAAAAAGCATGCTATCAGCTTTTCATCAACACCATTTAAGTGTTTCGTGGCAGGACCTCTTAAAGGAGCTGCAAGGTTTTGCAGCTAAAGCTGAGTCAGAAAGCCTCTCTTAAATGAGAGCCTTTGCTTGCCTCTAGCAAGCATAGTAGACCCAAGAAATTGCCACTACCAAGAAACCATGCATAATGCTATCATTTTGTGTCTAGAATTACTTCCAAAGCTCTCTCAGGCTTTTTGTGGGCACAGTTGTCCATGTGGCACCATTTGTTGTCGGGGCTTCTGTCCTGACCAGTCCTTGTTCTGCCTGGTTCCCGCAGTCATTAAGTCCCAAAGAAATCACACAGAAGTCTCCATAAGTTATAAACTGATTGTCCATTAGCTCAAGCTTCTTATTAACTCTTATAACTTATATTAGCCCATTATTCTTGTCTATGCTAGCCACATGGCTCGGTACCTTTTTCAGCAAGGCAATCACATCTTGCTTCTTCTGTGACAGGCTCACAACTCGACTAACTCTTATATTTTGAGTTAATCCATTTAATAGTCCGATAAAAAGTCTAGTCTTTAAGTTATACAGGTATTATGTATTATAGGTCAATAGTTATTCATGTTCGTTATACATATAGTCAGATTAATCAGGTTCTTTAGATACATAGATAGGTACCTTTCAACTGCTTCAAAGATCTGTAGAATGTGACATTTAAATAACTTAGGATTCTGTTGATATGAGACACAATTGCTCCTGACAGCACTAATCTATTTCTGAGAGAATGTTGAGCGTTGAATACACTCCACTCAGAGTTTTTCTTCTAGGCACAATTGGTCTTTGGGCAAAGAACTGCCTATGCCTCAACCACTGACAAAGTGCATGGTGTCTGGACTGAATAAGAAGGACATGAGGAAAAAGACTGCCAAATCTTGCTAAGACAGGGTAAGACAGTTCTGAAAATTTTCCTGCTTCTGAAAGTTACTCTAGTCCTTAGCCAAAGTTGGTTGCTTCAACACTGAAAGTGAGACTTTGGGCGATTGCTTAGGTAGCCAGTTGTCTCTGTCATCTACTGCACATTTTGGAAGCTGCTTGATTGCACTTCCTGCCTGCTCAAGTAATATTATCTCCCTTCTCAGGCCTTCGGTGGGGTTTAAGATTAGATAGTTGTAGTTACCTTCCTCTTATTATTTAACCAAGCCATTTCCAATACAAGACTTAGACTCTTTAGAATAGAATGTTTATTAAAACATTTAGCATGTGTTCCTTGCTTAATATTATATATGTTGGTTGTAATCCTAATTTTATATTTGATATTTTTGTTTGGTTTTGTTTTTCAAGACAGGGTTTCTCTGTAGCTTTGGAGCCTCTTCTGGAACTAGTTCTTGTAGCCCAGATTGGCCTTGAACTCACAAATATCCACCTGCCTCTGCCTCCCAAGTGCTGGGATTAAAGGCGTGTACCACCACCACCTGGCTTGATATCTGTTCTTATTGTATATAGTTTTGAATTGGGTTTGAAACTCTCTCATTTAGACAAAAAGGGGAGGTTATGGGGAAACCTCCATCAGCCAATAACCTTGAAGAGGCTGGACCAGGTTAGGGTGTGACCTTTTGGGTACCTACAGAAAATCCACTAGCCTGCCCAGGGCTCTCTCTCTCTCTCTCTCTCTCTCTCTCTCTCTCTCTCTCTCTCTTTCTCTCTCGTTCCTACATTACATCCCTGAGGTTAGACTTCTCTTTCCTGTTCCATGAGTTTTCCCCTTATAATAAAGAAATAAAATTGGAATCTTTTGGAGTTATCTTGGGATTCTTTGACTTGCATCCTCACCCACCCCCTTCCAGTAACATCTGTCTGTTTGGTTTTGAGACAGGATCATAACATGCAACCCACACTGGCCAGAAGCTAGACCAGCCTTGAATGTCCGTCTTCCTGCCCCATTTTCTTAGCACTGGAGTTATGGACCTTTGCCGTCTGACCTAGCTGCACCCCCAGCTCCCTTTTCTTTTTGTCAGACAGTCTCAGTCTCCAAGCCCAATCTGTAGCTGAGGCTGGTCTTGATCTCTTGGCCCTCTTGCCTCTGCCTCCTGATCTCTGTGATTACAGGTGTGTGTGCCACCGTGGCCAGCTCATGCCCTCTCGCTTTAGTGACAGAAAACAGTCATTCCAGCACAAGGTGAGCATCCCTATCCGAAAAATTCAGTGTCCAAGATGCTCACAAATCCAAAACTTTCTCAGCAAATTTCTTCAAATGTAAAACGAGGGTGATGGTCCTCCAGGGGATTAAAGAACAACATGCAGGAAAGGCATGTTGGCTAGCCATTCCCAGAAATAATAGCTGCCACTGTCCCTAAGGATTTGTGAAGTTGTGTGGTAGAACCAAAATGCATTCCTGAGGGCAGAGACAATAAGTGGAAAGGGATCACTCTCGCGCCTACCAGATCCTTTCATGATTGTGTTATTTGCTGTGGAAAACTCTTTCTATACAAATGAATATGTATTACTCACATTGGTGAGTAAAGAGCTGACTTGCTGATAGCCAGGCAGGATGTTTGGGTCAGAGGAATGCTGGAAATACGAAAGGCAGAGCCAGAGGAGATGCCATGAGGCACAGAACATGCAGGATGGGAAGTGCATACAGGAGGCAAACAAGCCTCAGGGCAGCACATAGATTAATAGAAACGGGTCAATTTAAGTTATAAGAGCTAGCTAAAAATAAGCCTAAGCTATTGGCCGAGGATTTATAATTGACATTAAGTCTCTGTGTGGTTATTTGGAAGCGGCTGCTGGAACACAGAGAAGTCTGTCTACAGCTATTTCAGCTTCTGCAATCTCCCATGCTCAAAACATGCTTTTCTAATCTTAAGGAAGGAGGTACTGTTATGAGGCTCTGTGTTTTCCACAGACGGGTAAAGGCCACAGGTGGATTATTTGTAATCTATATAAATTAATTAATTGAAATATCGAGCAGCATCTTTTTTTGTTTTCAACACAGGGTTTCTCTGTGTAGCTCTGGCTGTCCTGGAACTCACTCTGTAGACCAGGCTGGTTTCAGACTCACAGAGATCCACCTGCCTCTGCCTCCCAAGTGCTGGGATTAAAAGTGTGTGCTGCCACCACACAGCTCAGTCCCTCCTGCTTTGTTTTTTTTTTTTTTTTTTTTTGCAAGAAGAACCTTTAAGGATGTAACTAACTTAAGTATCAAAAACAGCCATGCTGGGGCTGGAGCTGGAGCCATGGCTGACAGTGGGAGAGCCTGCTGGTGTACAGAGGACCCGAGTTCAACTCCCAGTGCCCACATCAGGAGACTCACAACCACCTGTAACTTCAGTTCTTACGGACCAGATGCTCTCTCTGGTCCCAGCTGGCACTCACATGAATGTACAGTGTTGGAGCCTGCGGCTCACCTCATAGGGAGTTAGGAACAGGGTGGGGGTGTTGTTAATCCCACTGGCCAAGAATAAGCCCACTACACCAACTTTTGAGCCAAATGTGAAGCAAACTTTATTGAATACTGGCCAGGACATTGGACACCAATCAGGTCCTTTCTCAGGATTCCCAGAGTCTAGCACCAAATTATATTAGTCAGAGGCTTATAAAGGCAAAATCTATCATGCTATACACTTCCCACATTCACCCAATCAGGGGCAAGCATACATCCAGGCGTACTTCCTGCCTAGTACTGCCAACCTCCATGTGATCAAGCACATCCCTGTGGTTGGGGCAACCAAACTTGTTTCTGGAAGTGAAAACAAGGGCCTTTTTTAATCTTACATGAACAACAGCCCCCAGCATTCCAGAAAGCTTTCTGTCCTTAGGCTAGTGGGGCTTACACATTAGAGGCATTTTTGGTTTATAGATCTCTGAAGCACAATGATTTAAACTTAAAACATTAACTTTAGCCATCCCAGTGTGTATGAGAGATGGGGAGAGAGAGAACAAAAGAACCGCTGTCACAAAACAGGTCCGAGAGAGGAAGGAAGGCTTCCTGTGAGGGCAGCTGCTGAGTGTGCGTGGAAGGCGGGTTAGACCAAGTAGTCACGGGTCAAGTTGCATAAACTTGTCTAAGTGCCCTCACTTCCTGTGTGGGGTTGGGAAGAGGATTCTCAGAAGTCACACCTCACTCTGCAGTAGCACTACTAAGGATGGGTGTGGGTGGCTCTCCCATGTGCCTCTCTCTCGCCTCATTCATGGGAATGAGGAGCTGGCTGGACAGACCGTTACTCTGGGCTATTTTTCTTTCTACCACACGTAAGCCTGATTCAATATTTTAAGAATTAATGCTCAGGCCGGGAGTAATGGTTCACACCTTTAACCCCAGCATTTGGGAGGCAGAGGCAGGAGAATCTCTGTGAGTTTGAAGTCTACATAGAAAGTTCCAGGCCAGCCAGAGCTACACAGTGAGATCCTGTCTCAAAAAACAGACAAAATAACCAAACAAACAAAACAAAAATCGGCTCTCCAACACATCACATGGAAAATGAGCTCCTCTTAATCTTCCTTTTTTTCTCTTTCAGTTCAGAATGCTGCAGTGGATTGTAAGAGGGCGAGAACAAACGGTAAGTCTCATCTCCTAAAAGGATGCTCATCAGAACGGTGGGATGACTGACTTTGGACGTGCACATTCCCTTACGAGGATTTCTGTGTTTTTAGATCAGCAACCAAGAGCAAAGGCCTCAGTTATTGGCTAGGAAGGAAATGAGCTGACTTTGGAGGGGTAATTGTAGATTTTTTTCCCACCTGAAACTCGGTGGCCAAGTCTTGAGACAGTTTTTACCATGAAAAACTTCCAACTCTTGCTATCATTTTCTTTTTAGATAGAAAACCCTTGCATAATCATTATAAATGTCATTATTTACTTACTTTTGAGGCTGAATCTCATGTAACTCAGGCTGTCCTCAAACTCCATTATGTGGCTAAGGCTGGACTAGAACTCCCAAGCCTTCTCAGGGACAGGGCAGCCCCCCAGGACACAGCAAGACTAAATTCTCAGCACAAAGATTTATTTGCCCCAGAAGAACAAAGGACAGGGAACAACAGACAAAGACAGGACACAATGGATAAAGGAGAAGAGGAAAGGAATAGGGAGCGGGGAAGGATGCTTGCCCTGGAGGGACAAAGGATTGCCTCCGGATAGAGAGGAGACAGATGTGGCCCATGGGCAAATGGTGGTTTATAAAGGGAGAAGGGGAAATGCTGTGTTCGGATGAATTGGTTTGTTTTGATTGGGCGTGCTCATTGGGATAGAGCAAGGCAGAGGGAATGGGGGAGCAAGGCAAAAGGCACCCCTGTTGGTGCCATGTTTGCCATGTTTGGGTCTGCTAGAGCCCTTTGCCTTCTGTCTCTTCCTCCCACGTGCTGGGATTACCGGTGTGTGCCACCACGCCCACTCAAACACATCATAAATTCATCCAACTAGTACTACACAGAGGAGGAACTCGACCATGGAGCCAGGGCACTTTGCTGCTGAGCCTGGCATGTTTCTCACCAGCTGGCAGCCTGGGCATTTGAGCTGATCACTTTTGAGTTTGATTTCTTTCATCTGTGAGGTGGGAACGCCCCCAGGCTTAGTTCTCTGCACAGCATCTGCCACACAGCACTCCCCAGCTATGCTAACCACATAAGATTGTCAGAGCAGTTGCATACCCCCAGCCTGTCTCCCCTCAACTTCCAGAAGCAACCAGTAAGTGAAGTGGGTTGTTTGACTTTTTTTGTTGGTTTGTTTGTTTTTATGGATTGTTTGTGATAGGATCTTGCTACATAGACTAGCACTCACTATGTAGCCCAGGCTATGTTGAATAGGAATCCTCCTCCTTCGACCTCTCTCTCTCTCTCTTTTTTGGGTTTTTTGTTTGTTTTGTTTTGGTTTGGTTTGGTTTTTTTTGAGGCAGGGTTTCTCTGTGTTGTTTTGGAGCCAGTCCTGGGACTAGCTCTTGAAGACCAGGCTGGCCTTGAACTCACAGAGATCTGCCTGCCTCTGCCTCCCAAGTGCTGGGATTAAAGGCGTGCACCACCACTAGTACTGAGTGTGGTTGAGCATGTTTGTGGCTGTTTATGATCTGTCTGTGATGTCAGGATTTATTGAATAGCAATCAATTCACAAACTATGTGGGTTCTGTTGGCTGTAATTTTTCAAGTAGTCCTGATTTCCCTTGATAGTTGGCAGTTAGCAAACACGGTTCTTTCATTCCAATTTAAAATTTAATATTAACACTTGGATCACATATTACACATCTTACAGTAAATATATACATGTAGAACCGGCAGTGGTGGTGCACACACATTTAATCCCAGCACTCGGAAGGCAGAGGCAGGCAGATCTCTGAGTTTGAGGCCAGCCTGGTCTACAAAGTGAGTTCCAGGACAGCCAGAGCTACACAGAGAAAGCCTGTCTCAAAGAAATTGTGTATGTGTGTATGTGTGTATGCATGTGTGTATGTATGTATGTATGTATGTATGTATGTGTGTGTGTATGTATACAGGTTACATACTGGCTACCAAAGCCACAGCAGAGAGAGTTCAAGGAATTCTAAGAGGCCTTACCGGAAGGCAGTCTAGTGTAGCCCAGGCTGGCCTAGAACTCACTATGTAGCAGAGACTGACTGACCTTGAATTCTTGATCCTTCTGCCTCCATCCCCCAAATGCTGAATTTACAGATGTGATTAAACAGGGGAAGACAGACCCTGGGGACTCTGGGGGCATCCTGGGAATAGAGCAGGGAAGGACTTCTCGTGGGAACTGGGTTTGTGGTGGGCGATGTCATGAAAGAGTCAAAGTCACAGGTCTGTCCCTGGTTTGTGGGAAACATAATCCATGAAAAGAAAATTTGGCAGTGCTTACCTGAAAAGAAACACAAATGGGAAGTGAAAGCCCTGGTCAACGCCAAACCAAAACATAGCATAGCTATAAGGAGTCTTTTTGTCTGGGAACAAGCAAATAAGCTCGCAGTATGGAACATGGGTGTGCACACCAGGTGGCCTCATGGGTGTGCGGCCTCATGGGTGTGCGCACAAGGTGGCCTCATGGGTGTGCACACCAAGTGGCCTCAGGGATATGCACACCAGGTGGCCTCATGGGTGTGTGGCCTCATTGGTGTGCGCACAAGATGGTCTCATGGGTGTGCACACCAGGTGGCCTCATGGGTGTATGACTTCATGGGTGTGTACACGGGGTGGCATCTGGCATACCTGAAGAACAAAGAAAAGGATTGGGGAAACAAAATTGCCCTAAGGTGTTTGCTTCATCTTGAAAAAAAGGGGGGGTGTTTCTTACTCTTCTCACTACTATGACCAAATATCAAGACAAGAATCAACTGAAGGGAAGAAGGGTCAACTGGGCTCACAGCTCCTGTGACGGCTGAGAAGTCATGATGGCCGGGGCCTGAGGCAGCTGGTCACAGAGCCTCCACAGTCAGGAAGCAGATAGAAAGGGATTCTCAGCTCACTGTCTCCTCGACTCCTTTTTATTCAGACTGGGAACCCAGACCTTTGGCGGATCACCCATACTCACGTTCCTCACCCTGGTTAACCCAGTCTAGAAGCTTCCTAGATGTCCCAGAGGCAGTCTCCTATGTGGTCCTAGAGCCTGTCAGCCTGACACTGTTAATCCTGGAGCCCAGCCTGCCTCTGAACTCTGTCTGGCTAAGGATGGCCTCGGACTCCTGGTCCTTCCCGACTCCATCTCCCATAAGCTGGAATTTCAGGCATGAGCTACCATTCCTGATTTATCCCAGGGCATTGTGCACGTTAGGCAAGCACTCCATTGCGGTTCTAGCCCCGTCGAGCAGTCTTAATGAAGATCGCCATGTCCTTTTGTCTTTCCAGAACTACCTTCTCCAAATTTGAACTCAAGTATGAATGTGGTCAGCATGGGCCAAAATGTATCTCTGTCTTGTTCCAGCAAGAACACATCAGTGAATATCACCTATTCGTTGTTTTTGAGTAAGAAACATCTACAAACCAAGCTAAGTGGGGAAACGGTGACTTTTTACCTGAAGATTTCCAATGCCAACGAAACAGGCCCCTACAAATGCAAAACCAATGCTTCCGACCAGTCGAAATATAGTCAGGAATTCAACTTCACAATTGCCAGTAAGTGCCTCTCACCATACAATGGAGGCTTGGGTGGGGAGGGGGGAGGAGAAGGGGGGCAGAAGGGACTCTCTCTGGTGCTATGAAGGGCTCTTGGCAATTTGAAACACTCAAGAACATGCAAAGGGGCTGGAGACGTGACGCAGCAGTGTAGAGCACTTGCTGTGGGCTTTCTCCTCCCCTTTCTTATTCTGTCTGGGCCCTCGGTCTCAAGGATGGTGCTCCCACACTGGAGACTGTCTTCCCTGCTTTGCTAATCCTCTACAGAAGTGCTTCACTGATCTCCAGTCCCTCCCTCATCTAACCAAGACCAGCCAGTTCTCCCCTCTTCTTCCCTTGAAGCTTGAAGCCCCACGAGCCTGCACCCTTCCCGCCCAGCCACACCTCATGTGTTCTGCTTTTCTCTGTTGCCTTCCCATGCTTCTCTTAGCCCAGAACCAGTAGCCTCGTCTGTGGTGACCTTGATAATGAGCCCCTTGGAGAGTGAGGGAAGGGATCTAAAGACATTATATCTACAGTCTCGTCAAACCTCATAAAGAACCACTTGTTCAGGGCTGGAGAAATGGCTCAACGGTTAAGAGCACTGACTGCTCTTCCAGAGGACCCGGGTTCAATTCCCAGCACCCACATGGCAGCTCACAGCTGTCTGAAAATCCAGTTCCAGGGGACCTGACACCTTCACACCAATGCACATAAAATAAAAGATAAATAAATCATAAAAATTTTCAAACAAACAAAAAAAAAGAACCACTGGTTCTCCAGGTCTACCAGTGTGGGGACCCCCAGCCATAATCATCCATGTCAAATTAAATTCAAACGAAACAAAAACGACAGTAAACAATTCTAGGGCTGGCAAGATGGCTCGGTGGGGTAAAGGCACTTACTGTGCAAGTCTGAGTTTGATCCCCGGAACTCACAAAAAGATGGAAGGAAAGAGCTGACTCCACAGAGCTGTTCTCTACCTCCACATGCATGCTGTGGCATGTGCACCAGTGTACATTCGTTTTTCTGTGCATGCAAGTATGTACACACGTGTGCACAAACACACAATTAATACATTTTAATAACTCAATACCATAGTACCGGGTATACCTTTAACCCCAGGTCTCAGGAAGCAGAGGCAGGTGAATCTCTGTGAGTTCAAGGCCAGCCTGCTCTATATAGCTAGTTCTAGGCTAGCCAGAGATATGTTGTAAGACACTGTCATAAAAGAAGTAAATAAAATAAAAACCTTCAGCTGGGCAGTGGTGGCACATGCCTTTAATCCCAGCACTCAGGAGGCAGAGGCAGGTGGATCTCTGTGATGTCGAGGCCAGCCTGGTCCATAAGATATGGTTTCAGGACAGGCTCCAAAAGCTACAGAGAAACCCTGTCTTGAAAAGCAAAAACAAAATAAACCAAAACAAAAACCCACAAAAACCCTTGAAGCCACAACCTTGTCACATTTCTGGTATTCCAGAGTCACAGGTAACCGGTGGCTGCCATGCTGGACAACATAGCAGATGTCTATCACTACAGGAGGTTTTGTTAGATGGAAATGCCGGTCAAAGGCTCTAAATCTTAGGGTACAGATGTCCTAGTCTGATCTAGCAGAGCAGGGCGATCTTTCCACGGGGGATGCTCAGAAGACCAGGGTGTCAGTCACTTGTTTTGTTGCTGGCACAGAACACCTGACCAAACTCTTTAAAGAGAAAGGACTAATTTGGGTCCCCAGTGACACAGTCATCAGGAAAGCGACAGTCACAGCAGCAGGGGCGGGAGGTGGTGGGTCACATTTCATCCGCACACAGAAAGGAGAGAGGGGGAGAGAGGAAGAGGAGAGAGGGGAATCTTTGTGCTCAGTTTTCATTATTATTATTATTATTATTATTATTATTATTATTATTATTATTGACACAGTCTCATTATGTAGCCTTGACTAGCCCAGAACTCACTGTGTAGACGAGGCTGGCCTCAGACTCACAGAGATCCATCCACCTGTCTCTACCTCCCAAGAGCTGGGGTTAAAAGGAGGTGCCAGCAGGCCACTTTCTCTTTCTTATGCAACCTGGGACTTTTCCCATGGGATGGCACCACCATGCCTAGGGTGGATCTGTGCACCTCAGTTAACCTAATCTATATAATCCCTCACGACTTGCCCAGAAATTCGAGTCCTAGGGGATTCTAGATCCCATCAAGTTGACACCGCTCTTTGCCAGCACAGCCAGAGGTGCAGGTTTTTACAAGAGTTTCATGCTATGGGCTCCAGGTGGGAGGCCGCAGGTATAATGTAAGTGGCAATTGTGGCTGTCATAGGATGGAGTGGGAGGAGGAAACTGGCACAGACGAGGAGCTGTGGCGCCCGGTGATTTAACAGAGTCCGCTACCCTGCACGGTAAGGCCGCCAAACGCGCATCCTCTGCACGTGGCCTTCCACTTTTTTGTTTTGTTTTGACGTTTTTGAGACAAGGTTTCTCTGAGGCTTTGGTGCCTGTCCTGGAACTAGCTCTTGTAGCCCAGGCTGGCCTCGCACTCCCAGAGATCCGCCTGCCTCTGCCTCCCGAGTGCTGGGATTAAAGGTGTGTGCCACCACTGCCCGGCTCCTGCGGTTTTTTTCAGGTGACATTCTGTCCCATCAAACTGTTGCTGGATTATAAAACACGACCATCGTCAGTGAAGTCTCATAGGTACGTCTCTATCGATGGTTCACTTGGTGCAGGCTGCTGTTTGTTGAAGCTAAATTGCTTCCAGGACATCCGTGGTACCTAAGCCATGGTAGTTCCCTGAGCCCCATCAGGACTGATGGCTGGAGCCATAAGCACAGGCTCCTTCTTCCGGGATTCACTTGTCAGCTAAGGCTTGAGAACCTGGATGAACCACACCTTGACTTTGATTGGTTGGTTCCTGCCCTCATGGAACCTCTGGTCTGGGGGACAAAACAAAATCCAGACAAGTGACTCAGAAACTGTACCAGTGGGAGTCAGGGCTCTGTTCTTAAGGACACTGGCACAGCGTGGAGAAAGGCAAGGCTTGGAGGAGGGCCCACGTAGGCGAGGTAGAAGGGCCTGTCTGAGGGGCTGGGAGAATGAGAAGGAGCTAGCTATGCGGGGAGACTGGGAAAACAGGGCTCTGGTTGAAGTTCTTGGCATATTCAGGGCTCCAGCTTGGGGTGGGGACAGAGCTAGTTCGAGGTGGTTGAAGGTCAGAGAAGCAGGCAAACACAGGGGAAACTTCAGACTCAAGGCGTCAAGTTTGCAGGGGTCTGGAGTAGAGGGGGTCAGGGCTCTGCAGCCAATCTGCATTTGTCAGTGCTGTGACCTTGGGAATTTCCTTCTTCCTTTGGAAGCAGGCTCTCCTGTAGCCAAGGCTACCTTTATACTCACTTACTTAGCCAAGGATGACTCATATGGAGTTTCAGGACTACATAGAGAGACCCTGTCGCAAAAAGCATAGATAGATAGATATAGATAGATAGATGATAGATAGTGTTGGACTCTAGTGTCCAACCCGAGAAGGAGTCGCCCCCAGAGACCACCTCCTACACCACAGCCGATGCAAAAGCATGAGGATTTTATTAATTCTGTCATGACAGGGTCCCTCAGCATTCGGGAAGCCGAGAGACCCCGACTAGCTGGTACAGTCTGCTTTTAAAGGAGAAGGCCCCATAGAAACAAGAGGGGCTGTTCCTTGACCATTATGATTGGCTTTTTCGAAAAGGGCTGATACCAATAATTGACTGGAGAACTATTGTCAGATCAGATGAGGTAAGAGGTCATTTTGACCCCGTTTCCCAGGGGACTGAGTCAAAACATACGTGTATGGGTAATTGTTCAGGAACTGAGTACGTGCATGTGTAGCTGTTAGGTCCTTGGTTCCCAGGGGAGGAGGGGAAGCACTGAGGCACAGAGGCTGAGAGGGTTCAGAAATGGCTTCAGAATTGTCTAATATCTTACAATAGATAGGTAGGTAGGTAGATAGATAGATAGATAGATAGATAGATAGATAGATAGATAGATCTAAAGAAATCTATTTTTTTTTTTTAGAAAAAAAAACCCAAACTGTAGAAAAGAAAGAGTAGGGGTTCCTGTTTTGAGTTTCCCTTGAACAAATTTAGCAGGGCCACTTCTGCTTTTCGGAGGAAGTAAAAATACTTGTACAACTGAATCCTATAAATGGAAATATGATACTTTTGGTTTAGAACAAAGTCAGCCTTCAACCATATACTTGGGACTGGACTGTTGGCAAAGTCATGCCCATGGCTCCGTGAGTGGAGGTACTTGGCACCAAGTCTGCCCATTTAAGTGTGATCCCTGGGATCCACACAGTGGAAAGAATCAACTCCCATAAGTTGTCTTTTGGCGAATATATGCACATGTAAGTGTGTATATGAACACACCCTAAATAAATTTTGATTGTAGTCATTCTTGAGAATGAACAAACTGGCTGGGTTGTGGTGACACACTTCTTTAATCCCAGCACTCAGGAGGCAGAGGTAGATGAATCTGAGTTCGAGGCCAGCCTTTTCTATAAGAGTGAGTTCCAGGACAGTCAGGGCTACATAGAGAAGCCATGTCTTGAAAAACCAAAACAAGAATAAACAAATAGCTGGGTGCATTTACACACACCTGTAATCCTAGCATTTGGGAACTGGAAGCAGGAGGGTCAGGAGTTTAAAACTAGTCTCGGCTACATAGCCAGTTCAAGACAAGACATAATGAAGTCTGAGCATCAGTTCCTGGAAGCTAAGAGGCGACCTCACTCCACCCTCTATTTCCTCAGCGCTGGGCTTGGGCCACACTGCGCGTGCGCGGTTAGTCAGACTAGCGGCTTGTCTGGCTCCCAGGGGTGTGTGGCTCCTCAGCAGGTCATTAGCCTTGAGGCCAGTGAGCTGGAGTAAGGGTTGATCTGTGTGTGTGGACGGAGTACTCAGTATGGTTGGTCATCCTTATAGACCTGGCAGCTGCCCTGGTCAGTCAGATGGGAACAGGTCTAAACTGATTTTATTTATTATGTGTGCATGCGGCCCTAAGTGGATGTCAGAGGCAGTTTCGATGGGGATGCTCTCTGCATCCTCAGTGTGGGTTCCAGGGCTCGAATTCAGGTCCTCGGGCTTGCCTGACAGCGCTTAACCTGCTGAGTCATTCCGCCAGCCCCAGACCAATCTAACTCCATGCTGCATGTAACACCTAACACGTGGGACTTGTTTGGGTGACCTGAATCCTGCAAGCCTAAGAGCTGCCCCTAAGCACCCTGTGCCTGTCCTTACAGGGCCAGGCTGCGCTGTGAGGAACCCAAGCATGGAGAGCTGGGCTGCTCTGTGATGCCCGTGGGGGAGGGAGGAACGAGGGTATGACTTGAAGGACTTCGTGGCCCAGCAAGGGAACTCTCATGAGGTACACAGTGTGCTGGTTAACTCGGGAGACAGCCATGGGAGCCTTTTCTAGAGTACTCGGCAGATCGGTGTTCTAGCCAGGGGTGACCCGCGAACACTGTTTTCTTACAGAAGAGAGCTGCCCTTCCTGTCTGCTGTCACAGCTGCTGCCTGCAGTGTTACTGGGGCTGCTGGTAATAATCCTAGTTCTGGTTTTCTTCATTCGAACAAAATACAAAAAAGGTGAGTTCTCCCAGGTATGGTCGTGTGAGGTTCAGACTCAGCGGGGCTGCGGGAAAGGGGCAGAGTCAGAAAACGGAGCGGGGAGGGGCTGGAGAGATGCTCAGCAGCTGGGAGCGCCACAGTGCTGCACAAGCCCTTGTAACTCTGGTTTCAGGGGATCAGGTGCCCTCTCCTGACTTGGTGGGCGCTGGGCACACACAGGATGTCCATACATGCAGGCAAAATACTTGTGCACGTAAAAAAAAAATAAAAATTTAAAACGAATACTTAAATAGAAAGAAGTGGCGTGGTGAGACTAAGGTCATCTGATCTCAGATGGTGGGAAAGTGGGCTTGGTTAGGACCTGGATGGGAGACATGGAGTAGGGAGAAAATAAAGAGGGGCGGGTTTGATCCCTGGAGCCCACAGGATGGAAGGGGAAAAAACTGACTCCAGTGAGCTGTCCTCTGACTTCCACAGTGCTGTGTGGCACGCGTACAACCACACACTAGCAAGTAACTAAATGTAATTTAAAAAAAAAAATTTAGAAAGAGATGAGATGAAGCCAGGTGGTGGCGCACACCTTTAATCCTCGCACTTGGGAGGCAGAGGCAGGCGGATCTCCAGATTTGAGGCCAGCCTGGTCCACAGAGTGAGTTCTAGGACAGTCAGGGATACAGAGAAACCCTGTTTTGAAAAACCAAGCAAAAATAAGAGATGAGAAATGAAGAGGTGAAGAGACAGAGTTCCTGAGGCTCACAGGGCTCGACCTTCAAGCCCTCAGTGAGGCCGTTCTGATGGGGGTTGTCTGGAGAGCCAACCTCGCCTGAACACAGCTTACACACACAGCCCTATGTATGCCCCCAATCCCCGTGACTGAATTAGAATTCTGCAGCTGCAGCTACCGTCTCTAAATTATTAATACTATTTGTACTTTTATTTTGTGATTGGATCTTTCTATGCATGCCTGGTTGGCTTTGAACTCACAGTGATGCTCCTGTCTCAGTTAGGCTTATAGCTGTGCACCACCACTCCCAATTTATACTTCTTTCCTTTGAGACTGGGTCTTGTAGCCCAGGCTGGCCTTGAACTCACTGTGACTTCTGATCCTCCTGCCTTCACGTCCCCAGTGCTGGGATTACAAGCACAGGCCCCTCCATTCAGTTTATTTGACAGTAGGGGTGAAACCCAGGGCATCGTGCATGCCAAGCAAGCACTCTACCAACTGAGCGGCATCACCAACCTCTCTTCATAAAATTATGCTAAAAATACGCACACAATGAAATTTGCAATTTTACTCCCCCATCTTTCTTTTTAACGGAATGCCGTGTGCTTAACCAGAGCTCTACAAGGACTCACGCCTCAGCTCCTCAGGTGTGCTTGTTAGTGGCGTCCAGACCTTTACTCTGCTGTGAGGACCATCAGTGACCCCACACCCTTGCCAGCTTCCCTTGTTGGAACCCCCGAGTGCCCCGCGACAGTCCCTCATTCTGTCTCCCCTGCCCGGTAGCCACCTTTCTGTGTTTTGTCGCTACCGCTCTAACTATTTGTTCCAGTGGCATTCTGCAGCAGTTGCCTGTCTTATTTTGTGACAGGGTCTCCTGTATCCCCAGGCTGCCCTCAAACTCACCGTGTAGTTGAGGATAGCCTTGAACTTCTGGTCCTCCTGAGTGGTTGGATTGCAGGTGTGCAGAATGAACCTGCTTGCTAGGCAAGGACTCTACCAACTGTGCCCCATCCCCAGGGACTGTCCTTTGGTGTGTGGCTCCCTGTGCATAGCAGAATTTATTTCCTCTTTAGGCTGGGGAACACTCTGATCTGTGTGCATACCTAATGCCATCTTCTCACCCCTGCATCCCATGCTTGGGTGGCGTGCATCTTCTGGCAATGATAAAGAGTGCTTCTGTGCATGTGGGCATGTATGTATGGACGCCATTACAGCGAGAGACTCCTGAAGTTCACTGTATATCACAGAGGTGGTCCTGACCAGAAGCCCTTCAAAGGGTGGAGCCTCTACTCTCTCCGCCACCTTCAGGAAGCTTGGGGTGTGGCATTGGATGGGGACATCTCTCTCTCTCTCTCTTCCCACTTGATGTATGACAGCAACAAGAAACCTTTCACCAGCCAGGCCGTGGTGGCACATGTCTTTAATCTCAGTACTCAGGAGTCAGAGGCAGGTGGATCTCTGTGAGTTCAAGGCCAGCCTGGTCTACAGAGGGAGTTCAGGACAGGGCCCAAAGCTACAGAGAAACCCTGTCTCAGAAAAAAAAAAGAAACGAAAAGAAAAGAAGGAAAAGAAAAGAAAAGAAGGAAATTCTTTACAATTCAGTTAGGAGCCTTTCCTGTTCCCTATTTACCTCTAAGCCCTTCTTTGGTAAAGATTTCAAAGTGGCCCCTTCACTGGTCACACACACGTGGAGAAAGAGCTAGATTTGCACGAAACAGCACTTGTGTCTCAGCACAGAAGGCTCCAAGCAGAGGGCTGTTGGGTACCTGGTGTCTTTGCCTCTCTGGGTCTCAGCCTTCTGGTCTGTGGAACAGGGCTATGGAGAGACTCTGAATTAGAAAGACTCATCACAGATGTCAGGCCCCTGTGCCTCTCTCTGTCTCTACAGGGACAAAGGTCACAGAGGGCAGGCACTCCACTGATACAATAGTTGAAAAGCCCCTGGGACAGTTCAGTAGTACGGTCCTTGCTTAGCTTGTATGCCCTAAAACCCCTTGAAAGCGGGTGCCCTACTGAACACAGCTCCTCAAACATCTCCAGAACATCTCCCTTTTCTGCCAACAAAACCATTGTCAAAGTGGCATTAAGATTTGTGCACGCTGTTATTCCCAGCACTCGGGAGGCAGAGACAGGTCTCAGAGTTCAAGGCCAGCCTGGTCTACAAAGCGAGTTCCAGGGCTACACAGAGGAACCCTGTCTCGACAGAACTTGGCGGCATCACTCGTCTCTCAAAGATGACTCAAGGCTTCCGACCAACTGTTCTTCTCAGGAAGGAGAGAAAACGACCTGTAGACTAAGCCAGGGCGTGGTCAGGAGGCCCCTGGGGCAGAGGCGTGGCTGTCCTGTACAGATCTGTGGTTGTGTCCTGCCTTTCTTCAGGCCAGCATTGAGGCATGCCTCTTAGAATCATGGGAAATTCTGCACCTTGGCAGAGAAGACAGGAAAAAATGTCTAAATTGGTTAAACGTTACAACTCTGCCTTTTTTTTCTTTTTTTTGGTCAGAAAAAGCTCGGAGAAAGAGCGAGTCCAAGGATTCTGGAGATGCACCCATGCAAGGCGAGCTGTATGCAAACATCTGTGAGACTCAGACAGGTAGGGGCCTGGCTGGCTGTTTTGATGAGTTTGGTTGGTTGGTTAGCATGACTGTGTACATGTATAATATACTATGTATATATGGTATGCTGTTTTGATGAGTTTGGTTGGTTGGTTTGGGGTGACTGTGTACATATATAGTATACTATGTATATATGGTATGGTGCTGGAACTCGAACCCAAAGGGTTACATATGCTAGACAAGTAATCTACACAGTTCTGGTTATGAAAAAAATTACTTTTTTAAAGATTCTCCAGAGAAATGGGTTAAAAAAAAGGAAGGAAAGTAACAGAGTATCCCATCTCCCTCTCACCGCTGCCCTCCATCTTCCATCTTACACTCCAGATGGCCAGATGTAGAATGTCACCAGTCGGCCATTCTAGCCTCGATTCTTTTTAATATACTTAGAGATGACTTTATATTAGCTTGGGATGACCCATGCTGTATCCCAAAGTCTTTCATGATCATATTTTTGTTCGTTTTTTCAAGACAGGATTTCTTTGTGTAGCCTTTGCTGCCCTGGAACTCGCTCTGTAGACCAGGCTGGCCTCGAACTCACAGAGACCCGCCTGCCTCTGCCTCCCGAGTGCTGGGATTAAAGGCCTGCGCCACCACCACGCAGATTATGATCATCTTTTAAAAAAAGTTTTTGTTGTTAATATGTTTTGTTTTCTGACTGTCTTGTTATGTAGCCCAGCCTGGCTTCAAGCTTACAATCCTCCTGCCTCAGCCTCTTGAGTGCTGGAATCACAAACGTGATACTATGTCCAAGTTGATCTTTAAAAACATCTATTTTAATAACAAATAAAAACTATATATGTTTATTATGTGCAACTTGGTTATTTGGGAACAATTTTTTTTTTCTGTTTACTTGTTCACTTTTAAAAAAATATTTATTTATTATGTATACAATATTCTGTCTATGTGTATGCCTGCAGGCCAGAAGAGAGCACCAGACCTCATTACAGAGGGTTGTGAGCCACCATGTGGTTGCTGGGAATTGAACTCAGGACCTTTGGGAGAGTAGGCAATGCTCTTAACCTCTGAGCCATCTCTCTAGCCCTGCTTATTCACTTTTTTATTAGCATCTAGTCTAGGCTGACTTTGAACTCGCTATGCAGCCCAGGATGACCTCAAACTCATGATAATCCTCCTGCTTCACCCTTGCAAGTCCTAGGATTACAAATGTGACTTAAGTTGCATGTCATCCTTGCCCAGAGGCCATGACAACCTTCCTGTATCTATTTCCATCTGCATGCTGCAGAAGCGCGCACGTCTCATTTTTGTTTGCTTATTTGCTTCTTGCGATGCTTAGGATCAAACCCAGGACTCCACACATGCAGCCGAGTGCTGGAGTAAGTGAGAGAGCATAAAACTGGTCCTTCGCAGTCTTCAAGAGGGTAGTATTTAATGACGAGCTAGAGTCACCATACTGTACAATATTTAGTCGCTTATCAAATCAGGCATTGCATGTTGGATGCTTTGTGGTGGAAGGGCCGCCTAGCTAAGAGCTCCGTCCCAGGCAGCTTGACAGGTCCCGGTCACACTCTGAGCACTGTGCAAGCCCTGAGACACCAGCACCAGCTCCCATTTTCTGCCATTTCCATCTTGCCAAGCAGGAGCATGGATCAGACTTGGAGGGACAGCAACATGTTTCCACACACCCCAAAAGGAAAGCGTTCTCTCTTGGCACCCCCCACCCCTCCACGGTTGGAGGATTCAAGAATCAGCTTAGTGATGCTATGCATTGTTTTCCTTTTTTGGTTCCGTTTGTTTTTGCTCAGAGGCAGGACAACCCCAGGAGCTACACTACATCACTCCAGTCTTCAAGGAGGTGGCACCCAGGGAACAAGGTGAGTCATGATGGGGACAAGAGATGCTTTTAGAACGAGACAAGAGACCCTGCAGACATCACTGTGAGCAGGGACTTTGTATCTGGGATATGGGGACCCCAGGTTCCCAGCAAGTCAACAGTAACCAACAACAGCTCCCACAAATATGTCAAGTGCTGAGGTTGGAGGAGAAAAAGACAAGGTAGAGACTGTCTTCTAAATACTTCCAAGACAGGCTGGAGAGACGACTTGTCCCTTCCAGAGGACCTGTGTCCACTTCCCACACTCAAGTCGGGCAGCTCACGACCGCCTGTAACTCCAAGGGCACCTGTGCCCACATGTGCATACACCCCTCACACACATGAAATTAAAAGCAGAATAAAAAAAAATCAAAAAAACTCCCCAAAAGAGGATTCAGGGTCACTACTAAAACATTTCCAAGGAGCAGTTGGGGGCTGGGGAGATGGCTCTGCGCTCAGAGCTCTTGCCTGCCTCACTCGCATGGGACATGAGTGTGGACCCCCAACCCTCACGCAAAAAGCTTGGCGCAGCCATGCTCGGGCCTGTGACCCCAGTGCTGAGGGGAGGAGCCTGCTGGGGCCCACTGACAGTCTGAGGACAAGTTGGCGTCGGCGCTCTCCTTCCTCCCTGTGGGACCCTGGGATAAAACTAAGGTCTTCAAGCGTGGTGACAAGCACTGATACCCACCGAGCCCACACTCCTGAAATGGGGATCCCATTTAGACTTTGCCTGAGTTTATCGCTGGAAGTGACTGAGTTCTTTTCCCTTTTTCTGTTTCAGAAGGCCATGCTGGTAATAAAGTGGATTACGTCTATTCTGACCTCACCTACTGAGGTGTGAAGAAACCGACTGCATCCCGTGTAAAAAAGACTTTCTAGTAAGCCGGTGTGTATGGGCAGACAGCAAATTCACCTGGTGCTTCACAATTTCACACCAAGCTGGGGAAGGAGGACCCTGAATTCAAGATCAACTGGGACTACAAAGCAAGACCCCATCTTAAAACACAAAACTAGTCAGGCGGTGGTGGCGCACGCCTTTAATCCCAGCACTCAGGAGGCAGAGGCAGGCGATCTCTGTGAGTTGGAGGCCAATCTGGTCTACAGAGCTAGTTCCAGGACAGGCTTCATAGCGCTGAGAAACCCTATCTCGAAAAACAAAAACCCACAAAACCAAAACTATTTAAGCTAATCACCAAAAGTGGCTTTCTATTTTCCACATCTGAATACTATTCCTTTGACTAATTTTGGGCATCTAATCTCGTCATCTAAGTAAGCCAGGCTTGATAACAGTTATACAGTGGGCGTCCATTGTTCTCACTTTCCAACACCATTTAATTAGCTCGGGGCTGAAGAGAGGACTGTGCAGGTTAAAAGCACACACTGCTCCTTCAACTGACAGGCGTTTGAGTCCCAGTATCCACATCCCACAGCTCACGGCTGCCGATAACTTTGTTTCCAGAGGATCCACCACTGTCTTCCGGCATCTGCAGGCACTGCACTTGTGCACAAACACTGAATTAAAAATAAATAAGCCTACAGCCACATCACCCGGAACATGCCCAATCTCATCTAAAAATAAATAATAAAAATGTAAAAAGTTAAATCTAGGCCAGGCGGTGGTGGTGCATGCCTTTTCCCAGCACTCGGGAGGCAGAGGCAGGTGGATCTCTGTGAGTTTGAGGCCAGCCTGGTCTACAAGAGCCAGCTCCAAACAGGCTCCAAAGCTACAGAGAAACCCCATCTCGAAAACAAACAAACAAACAGAAGTTAAATCTTAGACAACAGTGATGTGAACCATGAGGGATTACAATCAACATCTTTCATGATCCCTTGTCCCCCTGCCTACCAAAGGTTCAAACACAAAAACACAAAGTGTGGCCAGGTGTGGTGCTACACATCTTTAATTCCAGCACTCAGGATACAGAGGCAGGTGGATTTCTGTGAGTTCCAGGACAGTCATGGCTACATAGTGAGACTCTGTCTCAAAAATAGGAAGAAAAAAAAGAGCAAGCAAGAAGAAACATACAACAAACAGCTACAAATAAAGACCACCACAAAGCATAATCCATGTCTAAATATAGGTGACCTTGAAAATGGTGTGAGGGTCTGGGGTGATGGCTCCTCAGGAAAGAGTGCTTACTCCACAAGTATGAGAACCTGTGTCAGGTCCCCAGCACCCACGTAAAAAGACAGGTGTGGCCACACACACCTGTAATCCCTGCAGTGTAGGGGAGCAGACCTTGTACACGCGCACGCACGCGTTTGTGTGTGTGTGTGTGAGACTATGTGACTGCAAACACATAAAGTTAGTATTGGTATTGAAGAGACGGTTCAGCAGTTAAAAGCTTTGGCAAAGCTTCTGCCTTGACAGAAGACACTGGGTGGCTCCTAACCCCAAAGTTCCACAACCTTCCCAGAAATAACCTGGTCAAGTCTTTCACAGCAGTGCGTGGATCCAAAGGACGTGAGGTATGTTTGAGGACTTCCAGGTTACAGTTCATTATCATGGGGGGAGGCCAGGGCTGGCGCTCAAGGCCGGAACTGAGGTGAAGTACACGGAAGAATGCTGCTAATGGCAAGCTTGCTCAGACTGCTTTCCCACACAACCCAGGACCACCTGCCCAGGGTGGCACCTCCCACAGTGCCCTCCCACATTAATCGTTAATCAGGAAAATACCCTTTAAGTGGCCTATGTGGCACTCAGGAGGCAGAGGCAGGCAGATTTCTACGAGTTCAAGGCCAGCCTGGCCTACAGAGTTTCAGGACAGCCAAGGCTACACAGAGAAACCCTGTCTTCAAAAAACGACAGACAGACAAAAAAAAAAATATCCTTCAGACTTATCCACATGCTGTAGGACAGTGGTCTGTACCCTATCAATTGTATTTTAATAAAACGCTGATAGACCAGTAGCCAGGCAGGAAGTATAGGCAGGGCAACCAGGCAGGAAGTATAGGCGGGGTGATGAGAACAGAATTCTGGGAAGAAGAAAGATTCAGTCTACAGGTGTCACTCAGCCACAGAGGAAGCAAGATGAGAGGGCCTCGCTGATTTAAGGTACTGAGCCACATGGCTAGCACAGACAAGAATGGGTTAATGTACGATGTAAGAAGGAGTTAATGAGAATCCTAAGCTAACAGGCCAACCAGTTTATAATTAATATAGACCTCTGTGTGTTTCTTTGGGACTGAATGAGTGCAGGACCGGGTAGGACAGGAAATTTGGCCAACATCTGCAGGCCAATCTGATGGAGGCGATTCAACAAGACAAATTAGGCCAGTCCTTCAAAATTCCTGCTTCACAGAAGTCTGTCAGATATTCTAGTTGGCAGGACAAAGATGAATGCCCTAACATTACAAGAACCTTGGGTGACTGTCCAGGCAGCCAGCTTTGTACTTCCTGTTTACTCAGGTAAAATTATATTCTTTTCGGGTCTCTGATGGGAATTGAAGACTAGATAAAGTTTTTCTTGTTACCTAATTCAGAAAAGAAACTTACAAAAAATGTAAAGTGTATAAGGTTAAGAGATATAAAAACTTAAGTTGTTTATCTAAGAAAATGTTTTAAGACCTAAAAAGATATTTTTAGGTTTGTAATACAAGTTATGATAGAAAGTGGTTTAGGTATAAAACGTTGGATTCACCAAGATAGGATGGATAATAGAGTACTTTCTCCAAATTTTCCAAATACAAATGTACATTGTGAATGTACTTCTTGCCTGATAATTGTTCTTGCTGTATAGTTTTACTGTGTTAGAGTTGAAACCTTTTTATTTGGACAATACCTGATAATTGTTCTTTTTGTATATACTTTTACTATGTTAAGAGTTAAAAACTTTCTTATTTAAACAAAAAGTGGGAAATGTTGTGGGATATTTGATCACACTGTGAAACTCTGAGACTATTAAAAAAAATTAACCTTGGATCAGGGGGCAGAGCCAGCAACTAGTTGACAAGAATTAGCCTCAGAGAGTTTGGAGGACCTATTAAGATGGATGGAGACACACAGAGAAAGGAGTAGGGAGGAACGGAAGAGATTTGTGGTCCTTTTTGGCTTGGGATAGTGTGGAAAGACATTTTCTTGTTGGGTCTTAAGCCAAAAAGGAAGGTCATCTGGTTGCTTCTCAGTTTCTCTGATCTAGCAGGTTTTCACCCCCAATATCAAACTCCTGAGTATTTATTGGTAAACAGAACTTAGATAAAAACAACAGCACCCACTGAAAGTCAGGCTCTCTGTCATACAGCTGTAATCTTAGCACCAGGAAAGTAGACAATCCTTCAGATTTCCTGGGACATGCATATGCACGTGCACACATGTGTACCTGCATTTGTGTACTCACACACACACACACAGCTGGGCGTGGTGGCTCGTACCAATCATCTTGGGAGGCTCAAACAGGAGGATGTCAGGTCCTAGGTTCAATTCTCAATATTTCTTTTTTTTTTTAAAAAAAAAGATTTAAGGGGGCTGGAGAAATGGCTCAGAGGTTAAGAGCATTGCCTGCTCTTCCAAAGGTCCCGAGTTCAATTCCCAGCAACCACATGGTGGCTCACAACCATCTGTAATGAGGTCTGGTGCCCTCTTCTGGCCAGCAGGCATACACACAGACAGAATATTGTATACATAATAAATAAATAAATAGTAAATAAATATTTTAAAAAAGAACATCTTGATTTAAAAAAAAAAAAAGATTTAATAATTATGTATACAGCATCTGCCTGCATGTATCCCTGCAGGCCAAAAGAGGGTACCAGATCTCATTAGAGATGGTTGTGAGCCACCATGAGGTTGCTGGGAATTGAACTCAGGACCGCTGGGAGAACAGTCAGTGCTCTTAACCTCTGAGCCATCTCTTAGCCCCTCAATTCACAGTATTATGAACAAGAAGGATATTGCAAAAGCAGTGGTGCATTTCCATGCTTACAGAATACGTACAGTTGGGAGTTGGGGATGTAGCCAGGCGAGTAGAGTATTTGTTTAGCACATACAAAGCCTTGGGTTCAATCCCCAGCACTACCTAAACTGGGTGTGGTAGTGTACACCTGTAATCCCAGCATTCAGAAGGTGGGATTACAGGAGGATCAGGAGTTTAAGGTCTTCATCGACTACATGTCAAGATGCAGACCAGCCTGGATTACCTGAGATCCTATTCCCCCAAGCCAGAATGAACCCTGCAAGTAAAACAGCAGAACAGGAAGACAAGGACGCACCCGAGTCCCCAACTACTTACTGTTACACTAGCTTTGGACTTTCCAACCTCTTGATTTCCTTTTATTTTGTTTCTTAATAAATTTATTTTGGGCCAGGCGGTGGTGGCACACACCTTTAATAGGTACTTGGGAGGCAGAGGCAGACAGATCTCTGTGTTTGAGGACAATCTGGTCTACAGAGCAAGTTCTAGGTCAGGCTCCAAAGCTACAGAGAAACTGTCTCAAAACAAAACAAAAAAGCCCCCACAAACCCCCAAAACGGGGTTACGGAGTTCACTGGCCATGGTTCACATTTGGAGGCTTTGGTTCTCACCTTCCACCATACATACACAGGGTATCAAATCCTTCAGGCGTGGCGGCAAGTGTCTCTACTCCTGAGCCACCTCAACAACCTTCTCATTTGTTTGTTTTGGAGATGAAGTCTCACTCTGCAGCCTAGATTGGCCTAGAATGCTCAACAAGCCTTCTGTACAGACTCCTAAGTGTTGGGATTACAGGAATGAGCACGTCCAGTCTCAGGATTTTTCCTTTTCTTTTTAATTGTTGAGACAAGGTCTCACCATGCGGCCAACCCGATTTTGCTTATTTGGCAGATCAGGATAGGTGTTTTCATAACAGACCATATCAAAAGGATAATAAAAACCAAATCAAAGAAGAGACAACAATGTCCACTTTATAAATGCAAAACGGTCAAAACCATAACAATATAAGCTAACAAAGTCAAAAGAGTATTTATTACAGAACTATGAAGACCTACACTTTGGTGGCCGATGCTAGGTACTTGATGAGAAAGTCTTTCAGTTTGGATATGTGCATCATTTCCTTCATTGTGGTGTCTCGACTTCTCAGCTGGATTAACCCACGTTCCAAAGTAGTCTCGGTAACCAGAACCATGAAGAGGATGCTCATTTCATCGTACCTGAGAGCGGTCAACAAAACACATGAGCATCACACGGACATCAGCTCCTCACCATCTGATACCCCAGAGTTCAAGCTACTTTTACTACAGTCAGGCCTTGACAGCAGGACCCCCTTTTCTGAAGCACACTCAAAGTGAAGTTTTAAATTTACCATATTGGCTGAAAGTCAGAAAAACTAAACCTAAGAAATGAACTCTGGCACCTGGGAGCGCCATGAATGAACACCACAGTGATATCAGCTGTCTCAATTTGGCTTTAATGACAAAAAAATAGATGCAGGCTAAAGTCTCTTAAATAAACTATATAAAAACAAAAGATTTGGTATAAACAGATTATTTGGTATTATAACAAATCCACACTTCATTTATGACTTAACATGCTAACCTATTGTTTTTAATTCATCAATCATTCAATAAATCCACGCTGGCCTTCCTGATTTCCAAATTAGATTAAATATTCATTTTTTACCTTTTTTTTTACTTATTTATTTTTATTTTATTTGTATGAGTGTTTTGCTTGTATGTATATTTGTGTATTACATTAGTTCCTGGTGCCTGTGGAGGACAGAAGAGGGCACTGGATCCCTGAAACTGAAGTTTATGGAAAGCTGTGAGCTGCCATGTGTGTGCCAGTAATCAAATCTGTGTCCTCTGGAAGACCAACCAGTGCTCTTAATCTCCGAGTGTCTCTCCAGACCCGATTTTTTTTTTCTTCCGAGACAGGGTTTCCCTGTAGCTTTGGAGCCTGTCCTGGAACTAGCTCCTGCAGACCAGGCTGGCTTCAAACTCACAGAGACCCACCTGCCTCTGCCTCCTGAGTGCTAGGATTAAAGGTGTGCGCCACCACTGCCCAGCCAAACATTCATTTTTTTCAAAACTAGGCACGGGGTATATGCCTGTGATCCCAGCACTCAGGAAGAGGAGGCAGGATGATCAAAGATCAAGGTACTCCTCAGCTATATTGAGTTCAAAGTCGGCCTGGACATGGATGAGATGTGCGTGGGGGGTAGGAGGTCCTTGTGCACAAAGCACCGGGAACCCAGGAAGAGTTAAACATGCATGTTTATCTCTTCAAAGGATGTTTACTTGCCTTCTTCCTGGAATGCTGGGAAAGGCTATCGTTTACAACCTTGTGGTCTTTGCTGTCTGCAGGGCCAACCTTCACCTGAATCCCCCAGAATATTGTTCATTTCAGACTTTTTGTTTTCTAGACTTATTACAGACTGCTTCTCTGTCCATCAAACCATCCTTAGGGGAGATGTCACTTGTGCTGGACAACAGCCTACGTAACTTCTATGTTGTCTTAGGCCCAGGCCAATCCGGACTCCCACAGGGGCCACGTTCACCTCAGCCATTCTCCCTACACCCTTATCCTGAGCACTGTTTCTAAGCCAGCAGAGCCGTCTTTATGGGAGAAGTCAGAAGTACTTCTGTAAAGAGTTTCAACGTTATCATGTCTTAAGCTCTATTGTGCACTGGGGACCGAGTTAACCGTCATCAGGAAACTTTTCCCCCCCAAAATTGAGCAGTGCTCAAACATGGCTACATTAAACCACCTGGTGTCAGGGTCTAGAGGGAGAAGCAGCTAATTAAGCTGGGCTGGACTGAGTTTCATTCATTCTCTGAGGATCAAGGATTGTTTTTGATGCAGGCTGTAGAACTTGCAGGGATCGGACCCTTCCATAGATGTAGTCTCAAAAAACCAAAACCAAAACCCGTAACTCCAGTTTCGAGGATCTGATGCTCTCTTCTGTCCTCTGTGAGCACTGCATAGACACGGTACACAGACATGCACATAGGCAAAACACCAATACGTTAAAAAGGGGGGGGGAGGCGGTAGTGGTGCACACCTTTAATCCCAGTACTCGGGAGGCAAAGGCAGATGGATCTCTGGGAGTTCAAGGCCAACCTTGTCTACAGGAGCTAGTTCAGGACAGCTGGGACTGTTACACAGAGAAACCCTGTCTCGAAAAACCAGAAAAAAAAAAAGGCTTCAGAACACCATATATAGCCACAGCCATACTAGCACACACCCCCCACACACACGATAAATAAATATAGGGAATTTTTAAAGCGATACTCGCACATGAACAAGACTTCAGAGCATATGGAAACTAGGGAAGTCAGGTTCCTCTCCATTTTCTATCTGAATAAACACCACTTACTCCATTTCTACTTTGTCCCTGCTGGAGTCTAAAAAACCCAGGCCTTGTGCTTGGCCACTGAGCTACACACATGACCCTCTGCCACCACACCTGGGTGTCGGGGTGCTGAGAACTGTTTTCCTGCAGACAGCACGTGAAAGGTATACTTTACTTATGTACTGCTTTTTGGATACAGGATCTCATTATGGAGCCCAAGTTGGCCTCAACCTTGCGATCCTCCTGCCTCAGCCTACAGATCACTGAGATTGCAGGTATGAGCTACCATGCCTACAAAGTAAAAGAACAAAACACAAAATCTCCTAATCTTATATATACATTTATATATAATATAAATTATATTAATATCTATATAAACTCAACACAAAAAGCTAGAAACAAAAATAAGCATAAAAGGATAAATTATTTTACAAAAAGTAGAAATTATTAAAAAAGCAAACGAATAATACTAGAGAGATTACAATTGTAAAATTGTTTTAATGACCCAGACAAAAATATTAGTGACCTTAATCTGGGTAATGGCTAGGAAGTTGGGACCTATATAGGAGTCAGGCACAGTGGCTCATACCTACAATCTCAGCACTCAAGAGGCTGAGGCGAGAGGATTTCCATGAGTTAGTGTAAGACTCTGTACTGAGAGATCTTGGGGGGAAAAGGGGAGGCCGCGTGAACTGATAGAGACTGCAACTGAGGAGTCAGGCACACACCCGACTGGGGGAGCAATAAAGATGCCTTATACTGAGCACATGTGCTTTGACTGTAGCCTGTCACAGGTCACATGGAAATTTCCACTGGCTGCAGAAATATTAACATTCGGAAAGCGTCAGACATTGGCTTCTCAGTGAGAGATGATAAACTAGAAGCTGGCTTCAGCTCTGGGTAAGCAAAGATGCCAATCACCGAAGAGACTGGGTCTCTGTCCTCCATGTAAGTCTCAGACAGAACTCGAAGCCAGCCAGGAAAGGCGGTCCAGTTATGTTCCTTCAGTTCTATACAGTTTTATACACTCAATTTCCTCCCTGAAAACTGATAAACTGAGATATTTCTTCAAATATGGCAATTACTAGTTCAAGGCACAAAGTTCTGTGAAAGGAAAAGTTAGGAATCTCTTTTTTTTGTTTGTTTGTTTGCTTTTTCAAGACAGGGTTTCTCTGTGTTAACAGTCCTGGCTGTCCTGGAACTCACTCTGTAGACCAGGCTGGCCTCGAACTCAAAGAGATCCGCCTAGCTCTGCCTCCTAAGTGCTGGGATTAAAGGCGTGTGTCACCACCACCTAGCTGGGGATCATTTTTTAAAAAGATTTATTTCTATGTTTGCCTACATGTATGTACACCACCTGTGTGTTTGGTACCCATGGGAACCAGAAGGCAATGAATGCCTGGAACTCCAGTTACAGGTGGCTGTGAGCCGCCACGTGGGGGCTGAGAAGGTCGTCTGCAAGAGAGCAGGTGCTCTTCACGATGAGTTATTACTTCTTGTGTTACCCCTCACCTGCTATGATTTTTAAGAATTTATGCTTTACTTCTATGTACGTGTGTGCCTACATGTGCATGCCTCATGAATGCAGCACCTGCGGAGGACGGACGGGGCTGCTGAACCCCTGGAGCAGCAGTTATAACTGAGTGAAGTGAGCTGCTCAGCATGGGTGCTGGGAACCAAACCTGGATTCTCTGGAAGAGCAACAAGCACTCCATCAATGAGCCACCTCTCCAGCCCCATTTTAATTTTTGGTTTTTCAAGACAGGGTTTCTCTGTGTAGCCCTGGCTGTCCTGGAACTCGCTCTGTAGACCAGGCTGGCCTTGAATTCATAGAGATTCACCTGCCTCTGCCTCCTAAGTGCTGGGATTAAGGGAGTGCGCCACCACCATCTGGCTGCAACCTCATTTTAAAGATTATATTTAGGAGAGAATTAATTCTATTAGCATAATGTAATATAAATTAAATAATGACAAGGAAGATCATCCTTACTTTGCATAGAGTTGCTCTAATGAAGACTGCACAGTCTCCAAATAACCAGGCCACACAGAAATCCCATTTTCTAGTAATTCATTAAGTAGCCCTTGACAAACCTGGAGGAAAAACACAGATTTCAAATATGAAAGGAAAGTGTTTGTGGAACTATAAACCACTTTCCTCAGTCTCTAAAACCCATGTCAACTGTTGAGTTTTACAACGTTAGAGTTTATGCCCTTAATGCCCGACTGAACTGCATACTTCCTAAAAATGAAGAAATTAAGCAATGCCAACTAAATATTGACTGCAAATCTTCCAAGAAACAGTTTATACCAATCAAGAATTATCACCATTATCATTCAAAACACAAAACAGGAAACAAAAAACCCCTATGGTTGCAGAAAAGCCATGATAACTGTAAAGGCTTCTGACAGGGTACAGTTCTTACTTCCACATCAGGATGAGAAGGAAGGGACAGTCTGAGAAACCCCAGCACCGCATTCAGGAAGTCAGTCACATACTGCTTCCTGACAACTTCCGGGCAACTGGCAGCAAGATGGCTCAGTGGGGCAAGGCAGTTACTGCCTGGGCACCTGAGTTCTATTCCCAGGACCTGGACCCACACAGTGGAAGGACAGAACCACCTCCTAAGTAGTCCTGACCTCCACACCATACGCGAACACATAAAAAGTCGTGGCAATTAAATTTATTTAACCCACCTGTCTTAGTTCTGCTGTCGGGCCTTTCCCCGCATCCAAAGCCACCTTAATAGGGGCTAAACAAGGGTGAAGTTTAAGCACCTGAGGCAATTAAGGGACAAGAGGAATAAGGAAAAGCACAGTGAATGTAGAGAAGCGGCGGGGGGGGGGGGGGACCAACAACAAAGATCCCCACGTAATTTTAGTTTCCGAATCCATGAAATAGCAAAAGCACCTTTCTCTGAAGGCTCTTCTTCCTTGCAAAGGAGTTCTCTGAGAGCTGGAAGGAATCATAGATGTATGCCAGCGTGCCTAGGTCTAGGTCCCCATTTACAGACAGAACACAAGGAACCACGTTTTTCCGCCCATCTCGACCCTTCACAGAAGAGAATAAAAAAAAAGGACCATTTAGCAGAACTTTTTTCTTGAGTGTGTGTGTTTCAAAACAGGACCTCACTGTATAGCTCTGGCTATCCTGGAACAGACCAGGATAGAGCCTAAAACTCACAGAGATCTGCTTGCCTCTGCCTCCCGAGGGCCAGGATTAAAAGTGTGTGTGCCATTAAGCCCAGCTAGCAGAACTTCCCTTAAAGTTATATATTTTAGACTTACACAATCAAAAAAAAAAAACAACAATCACAAATTCATCTTATAAAGGCCCTAGCCCATGCAGGACCACGCTGAGCACTGGGTCGAAGATGATGACGCTGTCTTCTTCAAGTTCATCACCTGTAAATGTCAGACCTAGCAGCTCTGCTCCTAGAGAGGATGAACTGACTCACCTGAGGGGGCCGAGGCCTCAGGACTTTTTCAGTGCTCCCTGGGGAGGCCTGCTATTTAATAGTCCCTTTACCATTCTTGTGTTTGAAAATGGGGTGGTGGGGGCTCAGGTGCCCCTGAGGTAAGAGGGCCTCCTGTGGTCACTTTCACCACAGGTCCTGGGAACTCAGTTGTCAAGCTCAGCAGCAAGTGCTTTACCAGCTCAACCATCTCCAAAACTCTGGTTTGTTTTTTGAGCCAGGAACTCACTATGTAGCTTTGGCTGCCCTCAACCTCAGATATTCTGGGATTAAAGGCATGCATTACATGCCCAGTTACTGAATTTACATTCACCAAGTCTTGGGCTCATCCCAAGATATAAATGAATTATATTAGACTGGAGAGATGGCTCAGGGGTTAAGGGAACTTGTTCTTGCAGAGCACCAGGGCTGGAATCCCAGTACCAACATGGTGGGCTACAACTGTAACTCCAGGTCTCAGGGATCTGATGGCCTCCTCTGGTCTCTGCGGCACTGCATAACACAGGCAAAACACCCACACAGGAAGTAAAATAAAAGCCGGGTGGTGGTGGCGCACACCTTTAATCCCAGCACTCGGGAGGCAGAGGCAGGCAGATCTCTGTGAGTTTGAGGCCAGCATGGTCTACAAGAGCTAGTTCTAGGATAGGCTCCAAAGCTACAGAGAAACCCTGTCTTGAAACCCCCCCCCCCACACACACACAAAAGAAAGTAAAATAAAATAGAATAAAAATGAATGTACGTTGGAGCGACCTATCAGACATCCAAACATTATATTAACTAGGTGATAAAAGATAACATACTAATACCTAGAGAAGCCCCCCCCCCCCACAGGAACACAAGAACAGGAAAGACAGAAGGAACTGTTCATCTGGAGAACAGAGACAGGACAACCCATGGAACCCGTGCTCTGGGTTGCTCGGCCTGTAAAGCACATTACTGGGATATTCAGTTAAATCTCATGGGCTCTGTGGAATCTAATAGTGGTGGGTTACTGTTAGTTTCTTGACTTTGACAGCTACACTTACTGTTATGTAGTAGGATGCGGTCAAAAAAATGTACACAACAGTCAAGCAGTGGTGCGGGAGAATTATCTGTATTCTGTCAATCATGTATTTTAATAAAACGCTGATTGGCCAGGCAGGAAGTATAGGC